ATGATCCCTTTTTGAAATACTTCAAGTAAATGCCTGCCAAAAATGAATTCTTTAACAGCCCAAGAAATATGATAATGTTTGTAGTCATAGTAATTCTAGTAAATTAAAATAGGTGAAGCGAAGGGCCAGATGTTGGCACAGTGGTAACGCAGTGCTCTAAGAGGCTGCTCCTTCTGGGGAGGCTCCAGGTTCACATCCAGAGACCTCCCTGGAAATGCAGGGCCTGTGAGTTCACACCCTGGGGCTGGATCAGTGTGATGGCCTATTGGGGGTGTGCTCTCTCTCATACTCACCTTTCCTGGTTGTTCCTTTGGTGCAAATGCCATGCCACAAGGCCTGCCAAGATAACGATTTTATCCTGCTTGGGTGTCATTATTATCACAGAAAATGCAGGCTTATGTGGCTAAAATGCTCTCCAATCATCGAAGGTACGATTCCTTTCACTTAACTTCCCCTAATTAAATTGTGCTTGGATTCTTCTAGTTAAATTGCATGCCTACACATAATTTCAAGGGGACATTATTGTTTTATGATGAAATTAATGATATATTATTCAATTAAGGTGATATTAATAAATTTGTCTAATGGAACAATGGAGCCCTGGCCACCTTACTTCCTATTACATCTCCTGGATTGCCCGAGTCATGACCTGACGGTTCTCATCTCCCATACGCTAAGGCCCGGAGAGCCAGACATTAAGAATAGAGGTTCATCTTACTCCCTGAGCCCCCATTACCTGATGCCCAGAGCCTCCGACCCTCCATCATATACTGATTACACATGCCCTTGTTGAACTGGATATGTTTAGGAGCCCAGTTCCTCAATAGGAATACTCGAGCAGGTGATGGTCTTCTGCCCAGTCTCCCAGACCTTCCACATGCTGAACCTGGCTCCCTCCTTCTCTGTCACGCCTGTCACGTGTGAACTACAGCTGCTCACCATTCCCATTTCCCGGATAGAAATTCCAAAACACTATTCTGTATCTCTTAATTCCGTTATTAGCAAGCTAAAAACCCATGAGAAGATCCATTATCAAGTGTCTAGAGTGGTGACTCCTGGCAACTGAGACCACCAGGAAACAGACCAGCCTCACCGTACGCAGGAGCCTGGCGGCTGTTCTGCCATCGTGAATGGATCTGATTTGTGGTGGGTCTGAGAGATCAGTGATGTAAAATTTAGAAGTCCTGCAGATTTTTGTGATCAGGAAACAGTGTGCAGAGATCGATATGCAGGGTGTCCATGACTAGTAATAGGGAATCTAGTTTGTATTTTTTTTCTTTCAATTTCCAAGTAGTTATTTTATCAGATAGCTTGAACATTAAATTTATCCTCATTTGCCATCCAAAATAGTTACCTAAAGTTGTCTGGTGTGTGTGTGTGTGTGTGTGTGTGTGTGTGTGTGTACTTTTATTGCCTGTTTGTTTTCTAAGTTCTTTGGCACAATTACCTGGAGGTGTTCAGACTGCCGTGATAAAAGCTAAGAGAGAGCTTTTCTTGTCCTGTCGCCAACTCCACGCGTTTACATTTTGATTGATTTGGGTTGTGGCTTTTTGTTTGTTTTTGAAGTCTGCTTTCTTTCTTTGTAACAATGGTACTCTTATTCTTCTACATCCTCTAACTCCAGACTTTGCTTTTTCTCCCCCCTCTCCCCTTGTACACTCACAATTGTTTAACCATTTTATTAAGAAAGGTGCCTGTTGATCAGGACGGGAGCTCCGACCATAGTCAGCTGTCTCTTCTGAGGGAAGGCTAGAACTAGCTTTTCCGTCTTGTAGCCAGGGCCCAGTGGAATGACTGGTTTGGGAGAGGAGGAGGGACTAGGTACCGCTGTGGTGCTTGGCTGTAAAGGGCAGCCTGGCCTTTGCTACTGAGGAGAAAGACAAAGCCTGGGCCTCCAGCCCGCCTTCACTGCACCCTGGCCCTGTGTTACTGCATGCCTGCCGACTGAGAGGAGGGTGAGGGACTTCACAGCCTGAGAATGAGTGTGCTGAATGAGGCAGTAAACAGTTCTCAACTTCAAGTCATTGCAGTTTCTTTTTCCCAGAAAATAAGGGGTTAGATGTTGCATTTCATAAAACTAACCAAAGTTCTGTCTACTGAAGCAGCACGAAAGGTGTTAAAAAAAAAAGAAAGAAAACAAAAAAAAAGAGGAAAGACATTCTTTACTGTTTTTTTTTTTTTAATTATTCTAGTAATAGGGAATGTTTGGAGTGGATAATGGCACTAATGTAGATAGGGCTTTTGGATAATTATGGGGTGTATGATTAATTACTGGGGGTTCAGGGATAAGTATCAATGGTTTCAGTGGGGGGAGTCTCTGGTTAGTGAGGGTGGGCTGAGGGATGAGTAACAGGACAGTGCTGTTTGACAGGTTTCTCTGGAGTCACTAATTGTGTTTTCTGGATTGTGTTGTCTAGAAATGTGATTCGCAATACCTCGCATATAGAATCCAGGGCCATGATCTGGAGTCCACAGGCCCAAGTGTGGGGTCCGCGTGGTAACAACGAGTCTGCAAGCTCAGTCATGTGTGGTCTCTCCAGTTAGTGGTAGGATCTCGGGGGTCAGTAACAGGAATCTGTTGGGTCAGTATTGAGGGTACTTCGGGCTCAGTGATGGAAAGTCTGGTACTGTCAGAAAGGGGTCAGTGAAATCTGCGATGGTGGGTAAAATGTCTGTGGGTTTAAGGAGAGTGGCCTGTAATATTGGGATGAGATTTGTGTTTGGACTTTTCTACTACCACCCAGACCATTATGAGACACAAGATCTATGCAGAGAACAGGCCAAAGCGTGAATGTACAATACCCATCAAGTAGGAGCAATTCCCCTGAGGGTGACTCGCCATACGATGTCAATAGCTAGCATGCCCAGAATGTCTCAGACCTCAAATGGGCTGAGAGAGGGGAGCTATGCCCATACCATAAACTGAAGCAGATTACATAATTATCAGTGTGGAAAAGAATAATTGAAAAATTACTGCCAGCAACCATAATATTTAGTAAAATAGCAAGTTGTAGAATTACCCAACAAAAATCAATATGCTGAATACAAATATAAGCAAATAGAATATAACAATGGAGGAGAACTCTCTATTTACAACCACTAAATAAGTAAATAGATAAAATACTTAGGTGTGTATGCCAAGAACAGACCAACACCAGGATACAATTTTACAGCATATTCTTGGCAAAACTGCATACTCTGATTTAGATCATGGGAAATATCAGACAAACTGAAATTAAAGGAATATTGAATAAAGTAACCAGGCAGAACTTTTCAAAAGCATGAAAATTGTGAAAAAGGGACCAGCAGTTAGCATAATGGCTATGTCACTGGACTCCCACGTAGTCGAACACGGTTCGAGTCCCGGACCCGGTGGCTTAAAACTCACGTCGGGTGCGTGTGAGTGCGTGCCCAAGATCCCAAGAGGAGAATGGAGGAGAAGGGATTGCGGCATGGCCATCCCCCCTGGGGGGTGATTTCTCGCTTTCTGTCTCTCTGTCTCTCTCTGTCTGGCGAGCGCACGCTCCCTATAGCAAAAAACAACTCTCAAAAGAAAAAAAGAAAATCATGGAAAAAAGAATAAATGAGGAACTATTTTTTATTAAAGAAGTTGAAAGAGACATGATAATTAAATACAATTATATGATTTCTGATTGGGTCCTGAGATAGATAAATAGATAAGAGTGAAAAGAATCCAGACACAAATCAATTACTACGAACAAACTGAAAATCGGTAATACATTAAGTAAACACTGAGTTAGTGAGAAAATTCTTGGCTATATTAGAAATTACCCTCATTTTTAGGTGGTACATAAATTCAAGGGTAAAGTATCCTACTGTTTGCAATTTGCCTTCAAAATTGTTGAGCAATAAAATACACGTGATTTGTAAAGAGCTAAAAAGCATTATAGCATGTAAGAAGTTCTGAAATCCATACACGGTATAGAATGTTTCAACAGAAACAAAAATAAACTTGGATAAATGGACAGACATTGCATGTCTGATGATCTCCAGATTCAGGATGTGAGATTAAAAATTCAGGTCACATTATTTACAAGACATGGTCCACATTACCCTAGCAAAAGAATGAGAGAAGCAGAAAAGGAAAGAAACCAAACCATTATGTGCGCTCATCTCAGACCAAAATACCATTTGTAAATCTTCAGACTTAGCCTGTAGGGGGCACTAATGTATAAGGTTTTTTTTTTAATTTTTTCCTTTTTTTGGAGAGGTTTTTGCTACAGGGCACGTGCGCTGGCCAGAAAGACAGAGACAGACAGAGAGACAGAAAGTGAGAAATCACCCCGCAGGGGGATGGCCACACTGCAATCCCTTCTCCTCCACTCTCCTCTCGGGATCTTGGGCACACACGCACACACACTAGGAGTGAGTTTAAGCCACCGGGTCCGGGACTCCAACTGCAGTCAACTACATGAGAGTCCAGTGACATAGCCATTACGCTAACTGCTGGTCCCATAATGTATAAGTTCTGACTCAGAGTCCTCGCACCTAGAGTAAGGCACCTTGTTTTCTATCTGCCTTCGCCTGAATTTCATTGATAACTGGTGTTCTCAAAGGTAGGCTAAATCATAGTGCTCTTCCGGCTTTCCACACAGACCACGTAATTCACAAGCAATGTGACTGCATTTGTCCGTAGATAGAATCCAAATGAAGAACCTCACAAAGAGCCAAAAGAAACACCCTACCAATTTCATTTTACCATAACTACCTCTTTAAAGATCCAGTCTCCAAATTCAGTCACATTCTGAGATGCACTGGAAGTAGGAGTTCAACCTGTGAATGGGGCAAGATTAGGGAAATACAGTGCGACCTATAATACGGTCTGTGAATGGCTGGGGTTGGTGGCACTTTGTATAGACACAGAAGAAAGAGTCCAAGTGACAAGTGCACCCAGCAATCAAATCATACTCACCTGGTTGATATGCCTGAAGGATAAAAAGGGAATTCAGATGAGAGGACACTTCCAGTGACTAGTACACCCAGGAGTCAGACTGTACCTCCCAGATGGATATGCCTCAGGGTTGGAAAGGACACACAGGTGACTATTTATCCCCCACGGTGCTGGGTATTCTGCAGAAGCTGTGGCACGTCTTGACTCAGACCAACAGAGGTGAGGTATTCCAAATGTGGGCTACAGGCATAGTGCATCTGGTCCATGAGACCCTGGGAGCTGTAGGACCCATCCCTCTCAGCTTCCTAGACATTCAGGAGGTGGAGGGTTCCTCATTCCGCCTGGTTCCTGTCTAGGGATGGGCAGAGACAAGTTTTTGTTTCAGTGTACACCTCACGTTTCCCAGCACCCACATGGAGCCCTCATGGCTACTGGTCCTTCCTTTGCTCCTGGCTCTGTCAGCACCCTGCCATGCTTGCAGATGTAAACTCCAGCATCCCCAGACATTTTTCTGCAAGTCAGACATTGGTGAGTCCACAGAGGCACTGGGCAAGTCTCCCTCCAGGAGGAGTCCCACCAAGGAGGATGGTAATGCACAGGTGGGAATTGCAGGGTGGGAGAATCTTACATCCATGAACCGATGGCCCCTGATCCATTTCTTCCTCCTCTCAGTCTTACTTGCTGATATACTGAAATTAGAAAATAAGACCAAGACTAGACGAATTTTTACAGTCAATGTCACTAAGGTAAGTCTGATCACTCCTGCCTCTAGGGCCCTCTCCTCAAAAGGAACAAATTTCTCCAATCTGCTTTTGATAAGAAAGTTGGTTTCTGGAGTCCAGAAGCTTCTTTGAAAACCTATTATTCTAGCCCCCTTCCCCTCCTCATCACAGATACTTAAGGCTCCCAAGGGAGTTACCGAAATCCACAAGATCTACTCGCCTCGCGACATAGAGGAGTGTGGTTACATGATGAGAACGGCTCAGCAGTCGCACCTGCTTATAGCAGGTGAGTGGCCCTGTCTACACAGCCCCTCAGTCTTGCTCCTCTGAAAGGGTCACTCCACTCACTTCTCCAGGCTCTGAGGAGTTCCTTCTAGAGAAATGTCAGACTGGCCAATCATGGCTGACTCTACCAGCTTTCGCATCTGCAGACCCTCTGGGGCTGATGACCTCTGTGCCGTCGCCTGTCCTTCCTGGGTCCTGTCAGACCATGGTCTCTGTTTGCTACAGGTTATATGACAGGGAAGAAAGTTCGTTTCACACGATGTCACCTGGTCTATTTGTGGTATCGGCTCAGCAGACAGCAGCGATTAGGTTTCGAGTCATTATACAGTAAAGCGTGTTCCTGTCAAGTGAGTGGCTTTCAACATGGTTTTTTGGTTTTTGTTTTTTGGGTTTTTTTTTCCAGAAAAATAGACATTACTCTTTGCTCCTTTTCCCTCATCCTAGCTAATCCTTCTGGGTTTTTTCTACCTTCTGACAGACTCCTGGGCCCCCACCTTCTTCTTACGCCCTGGACTTCCTGTTTCTTGCCCCCTTTCACTGTACCCTCTAGCATGAACCAAGACCTAGACCCCATTGTCCTTATCTCTTTAGGGGAGGTATGTCAACAGGAGGTAAGAAGGGAATGCTGACAAGCTCCGTCTCCCTCCCCGCCTCTAGATTAAACCCTGCCTTCTCTGCTGGCGCACCTGTCCTCAGCCCGATAGCAGCGAGTGTGTGTGGAAACAAAGAGACTGTGAATACAACATTTGGCAAGGGAACTTGTCCATGAGTTCAATGTGTACCCTTTCTCACTCTGGTCGGTGTGAATGGGCTCCCATCCCACTCCTCACTGCCCTGGCGACCCCAACCTCACTCCACCCCTCACCTAAGGCCTCAATCTCACACCTCTCCTCCCCTACAAGTAAATAATAGGTTTTTAATAGTCTCTTCTTGATCTGGGTAGTGTGAGCCAACTGGGTTAGTTTCATTAACAATCATTGAGCTTTACTCTGGAACGTTGTGTACTTTCTGCAAGTGTATGCATCAGCGAAATTGACAAAATAAAACACAGGGACAAACTCCACTCTGGCAATAGATCTCCTCAACCTGAATTCTTCACTCATGTTTTCCTCGCTCGTGCATTCACCAAATGCATTTTGACATTCATTCTTCTCATTTAAAAGTTCCTCTCATCTTGTCCTACCAAAAGCAAAATCCTAGGCACAGAGAAAAGGGATAAAACCCGAGAAATTAGAGGCAGACTCCACTTGACATGCCATGAATCTTCCTCAGATGATTTGCTAAATGAAAGAGCACTGGGTAGAAGAAAAAGACTGTTCCTTGTCACTACAGAATCAGGACTTCTCTACAAATATAAACATCATTCCCGGGAAAAGTAAAGGTTTAAGAATAAAGAACAACATTTGGGACCAGTAGTGGCATAATGGTTATGTCACTGGACTCCAGTGTATTCGACCACAGTTCAAGACCCAGATCCAGTGGCTTAAACTCATTCTGGGGGTGTGTGCATCCATGCCCAAGATCTTGCGAGGGAAATGGAGGAGAAGGGATTGTGGCATGGCCATCCCCCCTGGGAGGTGATTCTAGCTGTTATGAGAACACAAAGGGAAATATTTTCAAGTCTTGAAGACACAAGAGGCAAATGCAAAGGTGAATACTGATAAACAAGACTTCTTTCAAATAAAACATTTCCAATGCTAAATGAACTATAAACACTATGAAGATATAATGTAGACACAGATTCAAATTATAGAGGATTTACAGTTTTATGGTTTAAAAAAATGAGCTCTCAACAATAAATGTTTTGGGGAATAGATTTGAACCTAAAATTGATCCAGATCCCTTCCCAGAGCACTGTTTTCTCTCTTTGCTTGATTTTTGGAGGAACTAAATTTTTTCCTACTTAGAATAATCTTAAGCTTACCAAAAAAGAAAAAGAAAAAAGAAAAGAAAAGAAGCCAAGATGGTACCAAGCTTTCCTGAATATGCTTTTTACCTGGTTGCCCTAATGAGGGCATCTTGGCATATTCATGAAAACTAAGAAACTAACAAGGATAAAACACTTTTAATGAAATGACAGAGTGACTTTAGATTTCTCTGGCCTTTCCTTTTTTTTCTATGCCAGAATTCAACCCAGAATACCACAGCATTTAATCGTCCTGTCTCCTGAGTCTCCTCAGGCCTGTGACAATTTCAGTTTTCCTTTTTGTTTTATAACTGTCATAGGTAATTTTGAATAGTAGCATCTAGTTATTCTGTAGACTATCCCTCTCTCCACTTGCATTTATCTTCTGTACTTTTATGATTAAACCAAGGTTATGGATTTGGGGAAAGAATACGACAGAGAGAAAGTTGTTGTTTGTTTGGTTTGTTTTCCATAGGCTATGTGTGCTTGCTGGAAGGACAGAGAAAAATGGGTGAGAAAGAAAGTGAGAAATCACCCCCCCCCAGGGGGTTGGGGGATGGCCATGTTGAAGTCCCTTCTCTTTCATCCTCTTGGAATTCTGGACATTCGTACACACATACCCAGCCTGATTTTCAGGTTGCTGGGTCTGGGACTCAAACCATGATTAGCCATGTGGGAATCCAGCACCTTAACCACCACACCACCTGCTTTCTTTTGTTTCACACCATTGGTCCACGGCAGAGACCTGACATCACTCGTCATGTCATCTGCTGCGTTTCTCCACTGTAAAGCCTGTATTCTTCCCTTTCCATGTTTTGTTAGCCAGGACCTCACTTTTTTTTTAATTGGACCATGGAATTGTCTAGGCATTAGGGCCTTCATTGCTATTAAGGTATCACTGCTTTAGGCCTTCTCATTAGTTAGGGCTGGGGAATATGTCCTCGTGTACCAGTCCATTTATACGTACATTGTTATAACCATTTCCACTTCTCGGCATGTATCAGGTTGTTGATTTCCGTGTAAAAATTCATCATGACTTTCCCGACAACCCAATACATTGAAGTAACCATGAGCGCCTCCTGAAATCTCCAACTATAATCTAGCAACGCAGGGATCATTCAGGCCCTCAATCCTTGAGTATTCAGTTTCTCTTCCTGGCCTATGAAACCTGATTCCTATTTTATACAGTTTTTTTTAGTTATTTGTTCAACACTAGCATACATGGAATTTCAGAACTGCCAAAATATGCCCCTGTGAAAAACAAACGTACCGCCTGGTTTACCTGGTTTAGCTCATTTTTACATAAATCCACTGAACTCCTTCACACACAACACACGTGGTCCTCCCACCTAGCCCACAGGTTCCCGAGTACCTGGTTCCACTTGGGAGAGGAAGCTTTTCAGGGAAGATGGAGCTTCTGGAGCAGACTCCGAAGTCCGCGTGGGTTTAGGTGTAGTGTCAGGAGTAGGAGCACTGTCCACTGTTCACCCCCACCCCACCCACCCAGACTCCTGATTTCACCCTGCCAATGACCAGGCACTCCTTGTTAAACTCTCAGGATAAGACAAAGCCTCCAGAAAACGACTGAGAATCTGAGTGGGCATGGCTAGACTTGATAGGCACAGAGGAGGATGCCTGGGCACCTCTCTGTCTCTGGAGTCCAACCACCCATCTTAGAACCAGAGGAGGATGCAGGGATGAGAACATCTGTGGGACAGATAGGGCACACACCTGTCCCGGAGAGGTCCCTTGTGACTACGAACAGGATACTGTGATCCGAGGCCTATGGCGGCCACAGCACGGGCTGTAGAGACACCACTGCCTGATGCTGGAGCTGAATGAGGCTCTGGGTTTGTATCCTGGTTTTTAACACACCATGGTATCCCAGAGGCTGCAGGGCACGGGGAGGATCATGGTGTGAAACGCTGTCAAGGATGCACTGTGTCCATCCTTCTCTCAAGAAATAAAGAAGCGGGACCAGCAGCTGGCATAAAGGCTATGTCGCTGGACCCACATAGTCGACTGTGGTTCGAGTCCCAGACCCAGTGGCTTAAACTCTCGCCGGGCACATGTGCATGCATGCCCAAGATCCTGAGAAGAGAATGGAGGAGAAGGGATTGCGGTATAGCCATCCCCCTGGGGGGGGGGTGATTTCTCACTTTCTGTCTCTCTGTCTCTCTGTCTCTCTCTGTCTTTCTGGGGAGCACATGTGCCCTGTAGCAAAAAAATAAAAAAATAAAAAATAAAAAAATATAAAAAGAGAGAGCTCCAAAAAATGGCTAGGAAGAGAAGGGTCAGTGGATGAAGGATAGGGCAGCACCCAGAGGCCTTCCTTCTGTGAAGAACTAGAAAGACTGATGACCCAGGGCCAGTCCAGCAGGAAATAGTCTTGAGGTGGCTCAGACTGGGCGGCCACTGCTGCAGCCTGAGTCCCAGCACTGAGTGCTCTGTTGAGGGCTACACCTGTATTCTAAATGCAGGAGATTGAAGAAGAAAAGTCAGAAAGTTACCTTCAGTGGTTTATTAACAAATCCTATAGTGATTGTCATCCCTTTTCACATAGATGTGAAATGTTGCAACAACAGCACCCCCCCCCCAAGAAAGGCAGTTCTCTGGAAGAGAAGTGATCATGTGTGGCCATCCTCCCAGAAGGTGATTTCTCACTCCCCCTCACTGTTTCTCTCTCTGTCCACTCTCCTACGAGCACACCACCCTACAGAAAAAAAAGAAAAATCTCTACAAAGTCGAAAAAATCAAGGCCAGAACTCCATCTAATAAATTATTTTTGATCTTCCCCCAAATAATATTATTTCCTAGGTTTTGAAACAAATTGTAACTCAGCAAATGGCACTTAGATTCTATTTGTTTACATTAAAAGGGGGGAGGAATCAAGAACATCTTGTGTCTTAAGGTGAAGATCATCAAGTTGCTCTTAAAAATATTCTCCGAAGAACCCACATTTAAAAAGCCAAAGTTGGGTCCAGCAGAAAGCATAGAGGTTATGTCACTGGACTCCCACATAGCCAACCGTGGTTTGCATCCTGGGCCCGGTAGCTTAAAACACACTGGGTGCGTGTGCATACATGCCCAAAATCCCAAGAAGAGAATGGAGGAGAAGAGCTTGTGGTGTGGCCATTCCTCATCAGAGGTTATTTCTGACTTTCTGTCTCTCTGGTGAGCATACACATCCTATAGCAAAAATTTCTCTTAAAAAATTGATTTTTTTTTTTTTAGAGAGATTTTCACTGTAGGGCGTGTGCGCTCGCCAGACAGACAGAGAGAGACATAGAGACAGAAAGCGAGAAATCACCCCCCAGGGGGGATGGTCACGCCGCAATCCCTTCTCCTCCATTCTCCTCTCGGGATCTTGGGCACGCACGCACACGCGCCCAGTGTGAGTTTTAAGCCACCGGGTCCGGGACATGAACCGCGGTCGACTACGTGGGAGTCCAGCGACATAGCCATTACGCTAACTGCTGGTTCCCAAAAAATGGATTTTTTTAAAAAGAAAATTAAATGTTAGAAATACTAACCAAATTTTTTAGCAGTTAAAAAAAAATTTCTGAGGCCAGCAGATGGCATGGTGGTTAAGGGCACTGGACTCCCATATGGCCGACTGTGGTTTGAGTCCCGTACCTCGTGGCTTTCTCTCTCTCTTCCAGTTCCTCTCTGGTTAAATTAAAATAAATAAAGTTAAATAAAATAGTTTTAAAAAATAATTTTCCTCTCCTAATTATCAAATTAATACATGTGTCATTGCAGAAAATTTAAAAACACCAACTGGCATATAAAGAAGGAAAAAACGCACTCCTATGGCAACCTCTTTTAATATGTTAGAAATAACCACTATTATTACTATTTCTTATTGTCTTCTGATCTTGTATTTCTATTCAGTCCTAGTATTGAACTGCTCTATTATTGGAAAGAAAAGCAATGCCCTTTCTATCACTGAATTCATGTACCCTCCCCCATTACTGAAGCACTTACTTCACCCCAGAGGTGCAAGTGTCACCATACTGATACCAGAGAGCTTTGTCCCTGATCTGCATTCCCCCATCTCTCACTGTTACCTCAGGGCCACATCACTGTCCCAACAGGTGCCTTATCACTGGGTCCATGGTCCCTCAGCACTGAATCTATGTTGCCCTAACTGGATATATTACAGTCTTGATTTGAAAAAATATATAGAAATGAAGAACAGAACACTAGTTTGCAGGGATCTGAGCTAGAGTAGGGAAGAAGGAAGGAAATCTGGCAATAAAAGGGCCATACATAGGAGAGATCCCTGGGGGGTGGAATGATACTGTACATGGAATGTATCACTCTCCATTCCCCGGCCACCATACTGCAGTGCTGGAAGGTGTTACAATGAAAATACACTGGACCGGGGATACACAGTTTCTTTCTGCTGTATTTCTTTCAAATGCTCATGGCTCTGCAAGGAGTGCAAATTACACATATCATTAGTTAAGAAGTAGCTAGCTTTAGTTAACTAGAAAAGTAACTGACTAGTAAAAAAGT